CATTTTTAAATTTGTTAAAGAACTTGACTCGAAACATAGATAGTACACTCTTTTATAGCCCAAGCATTAGCTCATTTCCACTAATAAATCCTAAGTCGTAACAAAAGGCTCCAATGTGGCCTTGCCAATGCACACCAAAAGTACAAACAGGGACACCATCCATGTGCAACATGGCACTGTTAGTACTCTGAAATTTTTCAGCTGTTGATGGAATCAGCCTTCCCGAGAGCTACCACAGAGTTCGGGAAACCTGACTACCAGCCAGCCTCAGAACCATAAAACTGAGTTTTAGAGCTGTACTCTCATTTAGAGATAATAGAATAAGTTGCCTAGTCATAAAAACAGACACAAGCAAAACCTATACATCAGTCAAGAAGATCCAGCGTTCAACATCCTAAACTGGAAACAATGTATTAAAAATAAATCTGTGCCAGCCTAATAGATGAAGAAGGGGTGCGAGGCTGGTCAACAGGTAGAATCTGTTTACCCCTTAACTTGATCTTTTTATATATTTCGGAACCTGTGGTCCCCATATCATTGATGGCAGTTTTAAAGTCGGGCAAAAGCAAGTGGCTGGGAGTATAACAATCTATTAAAAGCAATGTGGCAATTTCTACATGACTCTTCTAGTAGAAGAGTAGTATATGAAAACATCGCTGGGACACTTAACTATCCAATGCAGTTTTGTTGGCATAGGTGGTGTGAAAATGAAAAATGTGCTCAAAAGGCTAAATCACTACTTTTTTTTTTTTTTTTATTTGCATTCACTCCCAACAAGGCTGCAAGCAACCACTATTAAGTTGGGAGTTACTAGGAAAAAAAAAGAACAGAGTTATAGGGCAAGGAAACGGTTGACAGAAGACTTGAAAAGTTGAAGGTTGTATGAGTCAGGAAAACATGAAGATGGGAGAGAGTTCCAAAGGATTGAAGTGCGGGGAAAAAAACTAGATGAATAAGAGTTTTTAGAGCATGCAGGGACAGATACAGTAAACGAATGAGACTTAGCTGAATGACGAGTAAAACGAGAATGAATTTTAGTTGATGGAACTAGAGATGATAACTCCTTTGAGCAGTGACCATGATAGTATCTGTAGAAAAGAGAAAGAGATGGAACTTTACGACGATGGGAAAGAGGTTCAAGCTTAGCAGATAGTACAGGTCCAACAACATTTATAATGCGTTTTTGGACCTTGTCAAGAATGTTTATTACGCTGTCAAGAATGTTTATTACGCTAGGAACCATTGTAAAAAGGTTTTGTCTAACACCAAAGCCCGCTATTCTCAGATCATGAAATCTCGTATTTCATCACAAAAATTAGGCTCTTGTGACTTCTGGAGAATCTTTATTAGTATCAATAATAAGGGCAAGTCTGTAATTCCACCTCTTTTATATGGTTCAGACTTTGTCACCTCACCTAAAGACAGAGCTGAATTGTTTGCCAAGAACTTTTTATCAATATCATCTCTTGATGCCACTAGTTGCGTTCTACCTGATATAGCCGTCAAACAGGTTGATCCATTGCTCGACATCCGCATTACTCTACCTTCTGTATCTAAAGTGATTTCCTGCTTAGACTCTTCTACAGCTTGCGGCCCGGACAACATACCTGTTATAGTCTTGCAGAAGTGTTCTCCGGAGCTGTCGTCTATCCTTTTAAAACTATTCAACAAGTGCTTATCAGAGTCTTGTGTTTTAGCCTGCTGGAAACACAAGACTCTGACAAGCACATTTTGGATAAGCACAAGACTCTGATAAGCACAAGACTGGAAAGCAGCATCTGTTATCCCTATTTTAAAAAATTCTGGAGAGCGATCCGATTCGTCTAACTACCGTCCCATTAGTCTTCTTCCTATCATAAGCAAGGTTTTTGAATCTTTAATTAACAAACACTTAATCTCTCATCTCGAATCTTATAACCTACTTTCTGATCATCAATATGGATTTCGATCTTCTCGTTCTACGGCTGATTTGCTATTAGTAATAACCGATAGGTTTTATTGCGCATTAGATAAAGGTGGAGAGGTTAAGGCCATCGCTCTTGACATTTCTAAAGTGTTTGATAAAGTTTGGCATGCTGGTCTCCTCCATAAGCTTTCTTCTTATCTAGAAACATCTTTAAGATTATTGAATCCTTCCTTTCCAATCCTAGTATTAAAGTTGTCCTTGATGGACAGCACTCTTCTTCTTATTTTGTAACCTCAGGGGTTCCTCAAGGTTCAATTCTTGGCCCTAAACTCTTTTTAATTTACATTAAAGATCTTCCAGATATTCTCACATCTAAGGTGGCATTGTTCGCTGATGATACTACCATTTATTCTTGTCACGATAAGAACCCAACTCCCTCTGATTGCTTGCAGGGGGCATCTGAGCTTGAAAAGGATCTTACTTCTGCTACAACATGGGGCTCACAGTGGCTGGTGAACTTTAATTCAGATAAAACTCAATTTTTTTGCCTATCGTTATCGCAATAGTTTAGACCTTCCTTTATTTATGAACGGTAATGTACTCGATGAGTCTCCTACCCTTCATCTTCTAGGATTAACTCTTACTTCTGATCTTTCTTGGAAACCTTATATCAAATCCCTTGCAAAATTGGCATCTGCTAAAGTCTTTATCGAGCTCGTCACTTTCTTACTCTGGATTCTATTCTCTATCTCAATAAATTTTTTTTTTTTTTTTTTTTTTTTTTTTTTAATTCACCTCCTCAAGGCCAAGAAGGCCACTACAGACGAGGAGGCTACTTATTGTGTTTATAACCCTCTCTCAACTCTATAACTCCGAAACACGAACCTTGATGAACAAGGCCACTGCGCGGAGAAACGAGTTGAGCGCAGTACTACCAGGGACGTGATGGGGATCGAACTTGGAACCACTCGTTTATGAAGCGAGCGCTCTACCACTACACCATACCACAAATCCGGCCTTGTATGGAATACTGTTGCCATATCTGGGGCGGATCTTCTAATGATGCCCTTTCTCTTTTAGACAAGGTGCAAAAATGCATTGTAAACATAGTTGGACCTGCTCTTGCAGCCAACCTTCAACCTCTGTCACATCGTCGTAATGTTGCTTCTTTTTCTCTTTTCTACAAATACAAATATAATGGGCACTGCTCTAAAGAGCTAGCGTCTCTTGTGCCTTTTTCTGTGACTGTTCCTAAGTGCTCCAAAAACTCTTATTAGTCTAGTTTTTTTTCCTCGACCATCAGTTCTTTGGAATTCGCTTCCTTCATCTTGCTTTCCTGATTCATATAATTTGCAATCTTTTAAGTCGTCTGTCAATCTTTATCTTGCTCTACAATTTTTATCTTTCTCCTCCAGTAACTTCCAACACAAACTAGTGGTTGCTTGCAGCCTTGTTGAAAGCAAAAATGTTAAAAAAAAAAAAAAAAAGTTCTTCCTATTTCTAGAAAAAGCAAATTTACATTTGGTCCATATGAAGGCACTTGTAGAATCTTTGATTTATCTTTATCAGAAATACAGTTCAGGAATGTTTGCACAACATCATGTGCTGTCGAGCGCCCCATGAACTCTGAATTAAGATAATGTGTTTTAACCATACTTGTATTGTCATCCCAAAATCTTACTAAAATGTCCATTTGACCCTTCTGAAAAACTTGGTTTATGGATTCATCAAATAAAACAGCATAATAAACTGTATTTGATAGGGAAGTGAGCAACTAAAAAAGGGAGCTAATCCGAATGTTGCAATATAACTGGCCTTGGTGGGTATGGACCCACTTTTGAAACAACTTAGCAATGTCACTATCTGGAAACATATAATTTACAACAAATAATTTACCAGAATTAGTTGAAGAATTCATTGAATATTTATAATACACAATATTAAGGACCCAACAAATTTCAATTTTAAGTGTAGATGTATTTATTAGCATTTTATTAATTGTTTTTCGGTGTTCTACTTTATTTGAGCATTCTGACATATACTCATTAACTTGAACAGTGTTAGGAGCACTTGGCATCATTGATATTGTTAGCAGAAGGAGATCTCCCGATGTGCTTTTTACCTTTCATGTGTGAAGTTAAAGCAGCTTCTCCCATGTTAGCAATATTAATGTCTTTAGCACAATAACTGCAATATACAACAGTTTCTGTTTTTTTACGTAACCAATGTTTATATTTTTCTTCAACAAGCCATTTTACTTAATAAAAAACATTTATTTTTAGGCATTTTATAATTATTTTATCTGAAAAAAAACAACATAAACATATTAGGAGCCAAAAAGAATTTAGAATCTCTAATATTTCATACTTTTAAAAATTATTCAAAACTATACAACAATGCAATAATTAAATACCAATTGAAAATATATAAAATGTCTATATAATTATAATTTATGGAAACTATGATGATAGCTTTCAAATAATATTTTTAAAACAACCTAACTATGCCTTTTGTGGATGTGTAAGGTTTTTTAAGAATCTTTAAAGTACAAATTTCAAAAACAATATAAGAATCAGATTTCCCATAAAAATTATACATTAGAGCAGTTATATTACTATAATTTACTATAATTTGTATTGTAGTTACATTATTTTTGCATTGTTTTTCTCTAATTAAAAACAAACTACAAAATATTATCCCATTTTCCAGGATTATTCCAGGATTTCATGAATAATCAAAAAAGTCCAGGACTTTCCAGGACCACTTTCAAATTCCAGGACTTTCCAGGACCGGTGGAAACCCTGAATTCTCTTGCTTCCTCAGTGTTGTGAAGAATAGGGACTGTTCTGAAATTTTGAGGCCATACAAATTACTAAATTATGTTTAATACTATAACTTATTTATTCTATTATGTTCATGAATTTTGCGTTTTAAATTAAAATGTTTTCAACTGATAAATACGTAAACTATACAGTACAAAAATGCTATAAATATTGGGTGGCCAAATATTGGGTAAATGCTATAAATACTGGTAAAAAATGTTTAAAACACATTAAATATATATTGTAAACAATTTGATAAATAAAATCTATACCTCCTCATTAATACTTAAATGGCACATAGTTCTGTCGTCACGATGCAACTTTGGATCATATCCATACTCAATATGATTAATAATGTCATATAAAGATTTTTTTGATGAAATCTAAATTTATAATAATTTTTTTTTAATGTTTCATTTTTTTTTAATAAGTATATACATATATCAATGAAATTTGATTTCGCTAACTAGTCTAGATTTATGAGTTTGTCAAATTTACTTGCAATAAACTTTTTATCATCTATGCGCCATTTATGACGGCTTCATCTTACTAGACTTCACAAGACTTTTTTATTTTCCAAATATGTCTCAAATGATAAACCACATTTTTTTACCATTACCTTTAAAAATAACTAACTTTTAATGTGAGCAGTTTATGCTCATAATCTAAATTTATGAAATCTAAATTTATAATAATTTTTTTTTAATGTTTCATTTTTTTTTAATAAGTATATACATATATCAATGAAATTTGTAGTAACCAATATATATATATATATATATATATATATATATATATATATATATATATATATATATATATATATATATATATATATATATATATATATATATATATATATATATATATATATATATATATCAATATATTCAATATATATATATATATATATATATATATATATATATATATATATATATATATATATATATATATATATATATATATATATATATATATATATATACCTGTAATTTTTCAGGTCTTTTATCAACCTTTGAAAAACATGATTTATCTTTAAGTAATGATTTTTCTTCTTCTGAAAGTTCCCACGTTAAATTATTTCCATAATCTTTTGAGCTAACATACTTTCTTTCCTTGAAAAGTTAAAAAAAAATTTTTTCAAACTTATTGTATGTTGTAATACAAGTTATAAAAACAACAAAAAAAAAAACAACTAACTTCAATTTTTTTTAGACCCCACTTGTTGTAGTTCTATAAAAAAATTTCAATTTAGTCAAACTTATGTGAATGTAATTAATGCTAAAAAAGTATTTTGATTTAGATATTTTTGAATAATTTATTATTTTATACAGAATTAAAATTGTGAGGATTTTTATTAGTCACATGATAACAAAAAAAAAACTTTTTTCACAATAAATATGAATAATAGATTAGTATTTAGAGGATATATATATATTGCCATGAATACAACACGAACTAAATCAAACACAAACTAATTTTATAAATATTAAAAATTAAGTGTATTAACATTTTATTGAAATGTATAGAAAAATAAGATGAGCATTTCATAAATAATAACAAGGAATAAAACAAACAAGACAATATTTTTTTTTTAAATTGTATATGTAAGAAACTAACAACTAATAATAATAATAATAATTAGTAATTAAAATAACATTAAGATATTATATGATTATAGTTACACCAATAACAAAAGTAATAATAAATTATATTATGAATCATTATAATAACCATGACATAATTGCTGTAATAGCAATTATACATTTAATATAACTTGTTGTGTTAGTAATTTATACTCATTATTATTAAATCTTTTAATATAGTTTATACAATTTTACTAAGATTCTTAGTTATTATAATTTAATATTAAAATAACTAAGATAACATAAACTATAATACAAGACTCAATAATAATGAGTTTAATACACAATAAGTTTTTAATTATTAAATTTAGTAAACTATTAAATTTTATCATATATTAACACTTATTATTTATAATATTAATATTATTAAATATAATTAATTACAATTCAGTTTACGGTATTTCCGCTTTGGGGAAATACCATAACACAAACATTAAAACCGGAGCAACAATTTTTATAAAAAAGTCATAAATTTTAAAAAATTTCACATTTGACATTATTCCTGCTGGTTTAAGTAGGTGTCGAGAAATTTCTACTTCTTGTGGTGATGGAAATTTCACATGCTCCCTTCTCAGCGAAGCCATTTTTGTTTATAAACAATTTTATAAACAAAAGGACAAACTAATCGGCAAAACTAACGATTAAATTAAAATATCTCATTACATGGAAAGAGTTTTCAAGGTTTTTCTGGTACTGAAAATAAGTTTTTGAATTTTTAAGGTTTTTCTGATGACTGAAAATGAGTTTTTCTATAAATGCATTTTTTAGCGCTTATTATGATCATATACTGCTCCAATGAAGTTATGCATTATTTGATAAATGAAATTATTGGCTAACGTTATTTTTTGTTAGTTATCTTTTTTTCTTTTTAATTAAATTTGGTTGCGCCACGGCTTCTATTGACACAGCATGCGAGGTTAATATCATCAAAACACATCAAAAATTTTTTAGATTATGGAATGAATATGAAAAAATATAAATGAGCAAAAGACGCTCAAAATTAATTGGGCAAACAATTAATTGCAATTAATTGATTGTAATTAGTTTATTGAAAAATTTTCACTACCAGTTAATTGATTGAAAATATTTTTTAAACCAATTAATTGATTGTGTCAGAATTGCAATTAATTGATTAATTGATAAATTTTGCCGTTAATATTATTTACCGAGATTATATTAAGGCGAGTTTACACTCATCTGTTTTTCGACAGGAACGGGATAGGGAAAAAAATAATCACGTGAGCATGCTTTTATTTGTCTGAAAGAAAACTGCGCATGCTCACTCGGTGTAGTTAAGGCACTTAAAAAATTATAAAGTCCGTATGATATTTTGTTGACTACGACACATCTCCGTTAAATGGTCTTGTCTGTGAATTATAAAAAGACTAAAAAAATAAAAATAATGAATTTTGCGGTATCATAGAATAAAAATGTTTGTAGCGAAAAAACCCAGACCGTGGAATATTTAAAAAAAAAAAAAATCATCTTAAAATCACAATCGCTCGTCCAAATTTAAATAAGATTTTATATTAATACGTTTTTTAGGTGAAATGAACATTATAGTTTAACAATATGATCTGTTCTGATCGTTTAATGGCAATTTTTTATAATTATAAGCTCTTTCTTGGTCGGAATTCCAGTATTTTTTGTGAAAATTGATAGAAATATTGTGTTTTGACAACTATATATAATTAATATAAGTCAGAACCGATTAGAACTAAGATCAGTAGTAAATTAAGAAACTTTTTAAAAAAGATTTTAACTAAATTCATGTTAAAGCCGATGAGCGGAATTGATCTAAAGACTCCAAAATAGTGTTCTTTAGATACATTATTACAGGTAGTAAAAAGGTTTTGAAAATTATATACAAAAAAGAAAATTTTCTTTAAATATTATAAAAACCTTAAGTAAAAAAATTATAACATTTAAAGATCTTGTTTGGGCATAATATGCTGACAAAACCATGCTAGATCCAAATAAAAGTATTCAAATATTTTGTAAACCGCCTTAACTTCACCGAGCACGTGATTATTTTTCCGTTCCCTTTCCCTTTCACGTAGAAAAACGGATGAGTGGAAACTCACCTTTATACTTTTATGTAATTTTTAGTTTAGCACTGTTTTTAACCATAAAAAGTTAAAGATAGAATAACGTATAAGCAATAATACGCATATATATGCATGTTCATTTCAATTGTGTTATTAATTATGTTTATATGAGTACATAAAGTAAAAAAATTCCTTTTTACGAATTTTATAAATCACGCTAACAATGAGTACTAAAGAAATAATCAAAATTTACTTCAAGAAAGATGAAACTAATGACAGTAATTGGACCTGTAAATGCGGAAAAAAATTTTGCCAGAAAACTGGGACAGGATGGAACAATTTATTTAATCATGTTAAAAGTATGCATCCAGAATATAGAGAGTATAATACTTCTTAAATATCAACACTACAGCCGATTACATAGTTTAGTGGTTTTATCATATTCCAGGACCAATAATAGCAAAGAGTGCCGACAATATGCATTCATGGATAGAATGGGTGACTTGTGGCCTTAAACCATTTTCATTTGTAGAAAACACTCTCACGCAAAATACTCTAAATTAGAAAATATTACCATAAAAACCATAAAAAAGTACATGAGTTTGCTAACTAAAAAGGTTAAATTAGAAATTGCTAACATAGTTCCAAAACATTTCGCAATTATTTTTGATGGGTGGTCAAAGGGAAGTACGCACTATGTGGCATTGTTTGTATCATATCCTAATAATGCCAGTGAAAATGAGTACAGTACTGCATTAATTGCTTTTTCACTTATAGGAAATGAAACAGAGTTTACAGCAAAAGCCCACTTTGAATATTTATCATGGGTTCTTGAAAATATTCTTCGTAAAAATATGACTAACGTAACATCTTTAATAGGTGACAACTGTGAAACAAATAAGGTCCTTGCAAATCTGTGCAATGTTCCATTAATAGGATGTACCTCTCACAGGTTCAACTTGGCTATGAAAAGTTTTTTACTCAATTATAAAAATAGCATCAATAAGACAAATAAGCTTTTGGGTAAATTCAAAAATTTAAAACTAGCCGGAAAACTCCGTTGGTTGACTTCTCTTTGTGCTATTCAAAAAAAAACAACACGATGGTTAAGTACTTCAGAAATGATAAAACGATATTTTCGTCTTAAACCATTTTTCACCCAAGGGAACTTTGATAAAATGCCTGAGCTAATAGATTACATGTTGCCTGCCACGGAAGAAAATAATCTTCAGTTGCTAAACGAGACTCTGCAAAAATTTAACTCAGTTTCCATTGCACTTCAAAGAGAATCTATTGACATTTTAGAAGTAAGACTTTTATTTAATGAAGTAAGACTTTTATTTTAATTAATAGTTAGACACGATTTTAATATGATTACCTATTTATCTTCAAATGCAGATATTACTCATTCTAAAACATTTAAAAGAGCACTAATTAAAATATTGGACAATAGAGAGCACGAACTATTTTTAAATGAAAAGGAAAGTCTAAAGCATTCTGAGATGACGCCAGTTAGTATTGACCATGATTTAGACTTTGCTTTTAAGCTGCTAAATAAAAGAAAAATAAAAAAAATGTCTTTGGATTCAAGATATGTGAATTGCAAGTTTCTAGTGCCAACGCCAAATATGGCGGAAAGATTTTTCAGTGCGGCAGGTTACGCAATTGGCCATTTGAGACATAATATACTTCCATCCAATCTTGAAATGCAAATGTTTTTGTTTGCTAACATATCGCTCTCCCTCATCTCAAGACTGCACTCTTCTTGATTTTATTTCTGATTATATTGACCAAGCGCTCATTCTTTATCCATCAGCCAATATTGTTGTTGTCGGTGACTTTAATGTTCATCACACTGAATGGCTTGGCTCTAGTGTCAGTGACTCTGCAGGCATTAAGGCCCACAACTTTTGTCTTTCCCAATCCCTAACTCAAATAGTCAACTTTCCAACTCGCTTTCCAGACAACCCGAATAATTTACCTTCTCTACTCGAGTTATGCCTTGTTTCTGATCCTAGTCAGTGCTCAGTTTCTCCACACTCACCCTTAGGTGCTTCTGATCATGGTTTGATCTCTCTCAAACTATTATCTCATTCTACTTTACCATCAGAATCCCCCTATCATTGTATATCTTACAACTACCTTAAATCTGACTGGGACTTTTTCCGTGATTTTCTTCGTGATGGTCCCTGAGTAGAAATCTTTCGTCTTCCTGTTGACAAATGTGCTTCTTACATAACTTCGTGGATTCAGGCTGGCATGGAATCCTTTATTTCCTATCGAAGATTCCAGGTCAAGCCTCACTCTTCTCCATGGTTTTTCTCACATTGTGCTGCTGCAATTGCCAATTGAAACCATTACTTCCATATCTATCAGCAAAATAATTCTCCAGAAAACAGACGTCTGTTTATTACTGCTAGGAACCATTGTAAAAGGGTTTTGTCTAATGCCAACGCTATTCTCAGATCATGAAATCTCGTATTTCATCACAAAAACTAGGCTCCCGTGACTTCTGGAGAATCTTTAATAGCATCAATAATAAGGGCAAGTCTGTAATTCCACCTCTTTTGTATGGTTCAGACTTTGTTACCTCACCTAAAGACAAAGCTGAATTGTTTGCCATGAACTTTTCATCAATATCTTCTCTTGATGCCACTAGTTGCGTTTTTCCTTGATATAGCCGTCAAACAGGTTGATCCATTGCTCGACATTCGTATCACTCCAGCTCCAGACTCTTCTACAGCTTGCGGCCCGGACAACACACCTGTTTCTTGCAGAAGTGTTCTCCGGAGCTGTCGTCTATCCTTTCAAAACTATTTAACAAGTGCTTATCAGAGTCTTGTGTTTCCAGCCTGCTGGAAAGCAGCATGTGTTATCCCTATTTTCAAAAATTCTGGAGAGCGATCCAATTCGTCTAACTACCGTCCCATTAGTCTTCTTCCTATCATAAGCAAGGTTTTTGAATCTTTAATTAACAAAAACTTAACCTCTCATCTCGAATCTCATAACCTTCTTTCTGATTATCAATATGGATTTCTATCTTCTCGTTCTATGGCTGATTTGCTATCAGTAATAATCGATAGGTTTTATCGCGCATTAGATAAAGGTGGAGAGGTTAAGGCCATTGCTCTTGACATTTCTAAAGCGTTTGAAAATAAAGTTTGGCATGCTGGTCTTCTCCATAAGCTTTCTTTTTACGGTGTATCTGGAAACATCTTTAGGATTATTGAATCCTTCCTTTCCAATCGTAGTATTAAAGTTGTCCTTGATGGACAGCACACTTCTTCTTATTCTGTAACCTCAGGGGTTCCTCAAGGTTTAATCCTTGGCCCTGTACTCTTTTTAATTTACATTAACGATCTTCCAGATATTCTCACATCTAAGGTGGCATTGTTCGCTGATGATACTACCATTTGTTCTTGCATTTTTATGTTTAAAAGAAAAAAATGTATAGGCGCAAAGAAATATTCTTAACTAAATACTAGAAAGACATTATCTATTTAATTTTTAACAGTTGAAAAAATAATCCAGTTTTATCTTTACCAACAAGATTCCAAACCATCCCGCAGTGGGAAATCACACGGCCAAAAATTAAAAAAGTGAGTTCTCATAATAAGAAGCCAACTCTCTCTGATTGCTTGCAGGGGGGCATCTGAGCTTGAAAAGGATCTCACTTCTGCTACAGCATGGGGCTCACAGTGGCTGGTGAACTTTAAATCAGATAAAATTCAATTTTT